AACAAAGGTTTTTAAATCCAGTTTTACTGCAACTCAACTTATATAATTCTTTCTGTGATTAGAATTCTATTAGTGATTCAAAATTTTAATAAACATCAATTATTTATTTATAACTATTTCTGAGCACTCCATTATAAGATACGATTTATTATGAAAATGTGTACACTACAATAACAATATAACTTGCAAATATCTTATATATCTAATAAATAACTTTCAAGTAGTTTAAATTCGTACTATTGGAATTATTCACAAATTGCTCAAATGCTAAAATTACCCATTTTTGAACTTGTGAACATTTGATAAAAACTGATTAATTATCAGCTTCAAATATTTATTTTAATGAAATTATCACTATATATTATTATTAATAAGCTATTAGAATTAGCTCATCAAAATCTTCTTACAACAAAATTCTTAAGATTCGGAATATTCATTACGTTATAGTGCACTTATATTGACTAATGAAATAGTAAAAAAGTTCAAGTATAAAATAATTAGAATAGAATGTAAAAAAACTAGTATTAACATAGCATATCACGAACATTTAAAAAAATACGCTTTTTGATAGTTTAATAAAAGATTACTGGGCAAATATTTGAAATTTATAGCAAAAACGGTGCAATAATTTGGTCGAGAATCGCAAGCACAAGAAAGAAAAATGAGGCACTTGCATAAATTAATTTTAAGTAGAAAATTTTCAAATATATATAATGAAAAATTATATGAAAAGGAGTAGTATCTCGCTTAACCCAAGGAGCTACCGAGACATATTGATATGGAAAATTCCGATTTTTCAAACCTTTGAATAATTTTTATTTTATTTTTTATAATTGAACCGCTGCTGCTCATAAGCTTATAATATTTTAAACTGTTCAAAATAAGCCAAATTTTCAAGGGCTATACCGCGCCTTTTGGTTCAAACCATATTATTCGAAAGTTTTGATCAAAATCTGGACCCATTTTCATTTCATTAGCTTTATCAAACAGTTTAAAGTATAAGTGTTTTCAAACCTCGTCAATAATATTCAGTTGATAATTCATTATTTTTAATGCAAGTGCCTTAAAACCAAGTATTTTTTTTCCTGCGTTCACGAATTTTTTTTCAATAATTTCTTTCAAAATGCAAGTAAAGTTTCAATGATCCCGAGAATTAGTTTCAAATATAAGCTGAATGGAGATATACCATATACTAAAATGTACTATATTATAATTGTAAACTTACAATATTTTTTTATTAATATAATAAGATAATGATCCAATCAACGGATGTAGTCTATTCTGAATGAATATATATCACCAAGCTTCGGTATAACGCACATCACAGTCTTGTATTCAGGAAGTTTATTTCTTACTCTTGTAATGTAGTGGCAGTCAATGAAGTACTATTCAGATTCAATGTTCTTAAGTGTTTTAATGCTGAATATAGAATTGAATTAAATGATAATAGTAAAATTTTAGTTTAATATATAATAATAATAATGAAATGATACTGCCCTGAGGCAGGTTCGTGAGATGGATAAAATCTTACTCGATGCAAGGAAGAATAGTGTTAAGGGGATGTCCATTAATCACTTGAGGTTTTTAAGAAAAGAGGGAATCTCACAAAAAAAATCACGCGGGGGGGGGGTGGACAGTGGAGTATAGTGAGATATCACGTGCAATTTATTTTTTACCAGATTATTTTTTTAAAACTCCAAACATTTAAAAAAAATCCAAAATTTTACCATTTTTTCTCCTAACTAAAAATACACGTGATGCTTGGTGCGGGACAAGGGGTATTTTTGAATATCACCACGTAACACCAAGGGGGAGGGGGATCCAAAAATCCTTGAAATATCGATCACGTGAGTAATGGACGCCCCCTAAAGGTTTTCAACTGCCATTTCACATCGAAGTGCCCGAAACAGGGGCACTATTTTCAATTGGAAACATATTTTTGATCGATATATTTTCAAGTAAAAATTGGCATGCAACATTTCTGTTGCATGATGCTAGGTTGTCCAGAGCGAGGTTCAACCATTACACCATGTTACCATAATATTATATATATATATATATATATATATATATATATATATATATTAGGGTGGCCCTTAATATGGACATTTTCGAACTTCCTTGCTCCAGGGGCTCAAATGCTTCCAAATTGATAAAAAAAAATCCTCTATAAGTTTTAGCTCTTAATATTGTCTTTTAGATAGCGCGCAATTCAATCAAAGTTTTGTATGAAAATAGCATGGGAATATTTTCAAAAATGTTTTGTAGATATAACTTAGCGAACAAATGAAAGAGTTTTATGAAAAATTCGACGCTCTACAAAACAAATGATATAAAATCTGTTTTGCAGAGAGAGTCGAATTTTCAATAAAAGATGACACAAATCATCACTTTTAATTCATTTGTCGCTAAGTTATACCTAAAAAAAACATTTTTAGAAGTTTCGAAATTTTTCCGTGCCCTTTCCATACGGAGCTTTGATTGAATTGAATTGCGCACTATCTAAAAATTAATGTTAAGAGCTAAAACTTTTAGAGATTTTTTTATAAATTTGGAAGCATTTAAGCTCCTGGGAGCAATAAAATTAAAAAATGTCCATAATAAGGACCACCCTGATATATATATATTTAGTGTTAAAGTAGATAATTTTGATGTTGAGACATTTTGATGTTGAGTAGGTTGTTCTAAGACCATACATCAAATAAAAAGCTAAGATTTATAAATTAATCCTTAATTTTTTATCAAACATTTCGATATAAAGTTTTATGTCATCATCAATGTATGTTAGACATGATGTATAATAAATTATGGTAGTACATTTACATACTAACTTGTCCTTAACGAAGGGATTTTTTTTTAAAGCTTTGCCTTTTATTCGATGTTTCGTCTAATATATTTAATGTATCTAGATATTCTCAAAATTTGTCCATATTATATATTTAATAAATGTACTTACAAGCCAAAGAAGCGATTCCAGCGTCAGTTACGCGAGTCTCGCAAAGATTGAGCTGTCTTAATTGCGGCAAATTTTCCGCGAGTATCTGCAAGCCGGCATCATCAAATTGCGTCGACCATAAATTCAATTGTCGTAAGGCAGGCAACTATTATAAATATTTAATACAACCGTTAATATGCATTCAGATAATAATAAAAAAATACTGATTATCAAGTAACGACCAACAGAACTCCGTACAAAGGCAATGGTCTTCTTAACTCAAAATTCATTAAATTATAATTATCGATTAAATTCATAAAATTCGTTAAGCAATTAAGGCTACTATTGGACGAATAGTGTCTTGAATATTATAATAATAAATGTAATAAAGGAAGATCTAGCTACCTTAATTATTTGTTCAGCGCAGGCTCCAGTAACTCTAGTGAACGCCAAACACAGACTTCGTAAATCTCCAAAATTTCCATCTGATAAAAGAGCTTCTAAATCTTTATCGGTAGCGCGCGGCGGCAATGCTAATCGGCGTGGTCCTCCAGTACGGCGCTAAAGTTTTAATAAAATTTAATTTGTCATATAATATTACCCATTGTAAATGTTTCAAGCTTAAGAGAAACTGTCTATCATAGTTTGCTTTACCATTTTTTCCAAAAGCGCCCTCCTTTCACAAGCATCAGTATAGACTTCTTTCCCTCGCTGAGTGCTCATCAAAGCGGCAACAACTCGATGCATAACGTCCTCCTCATTATCATTGCTCAATTTCTGATTTGTCTGAAACTCTTCTTTTCCATCTTCTTCAGGCCATCTGGCCCAAAAGGTCCCATTCAATCACCAAAGCTAAAACTAGACGCACGGATCCGGCCCATGGCTGACTAGCTAGTCGGAAGCAATCTTCTAAACGTTTAGGTATCAGATGCTGCAGCAAGAAACGCTTGCGCCTGCCGCAGCAGCCAAGCAACGTAGAAAGCTAACGGTAATAGAAAATATTAATAATTAAAAGATACCAACAGATATAAAAAGTATGAGGAAGTCTGACTAAATTTTATCATACCATTAGACACCAGACTTTTCCGCCGTCCGGACACATGTTATATTCTCCCGTCACTGGACAGTAGAGATCTAACCAGCCTTTCTTGGTGGGTCTGACAGGCATTAGCGTTCGATGAACTTCACATTGCCTGCTGGTTGCCAAACGACGCACCGTCGGAGCCATGGCTCGAAGGAAACCAGGCGAAGTCATCGCCTTGGCAGGGAATGGCAGTGGTTGCAACAGAGAGGCAAGGTAGGGCAACCAGGAACTATGGCTAGATCTGTAATGAAGAAGATAGGATAGTAGTTCATTAGATTCATAAAGAAGAACCGAAATGGAAAACGAAATTATATAAGTTTGCAGCTTTTTTATTTCAGAATAGAATGAGAGCAACCAGATGCTGAATGGAGTATGAAATATATAGTATTATTGATTGCACGTCAATTGCACACGTCAAGTTATAAAATGACATTTTATTTTAATAAAATATCTCATATTTAGAATAATATAAGAATTTGTTTTAAATCTTACATGAGTTCTAAAACTGTGGCAAATATTTGAATTTGTGCGTCGATAACTTCCATATTGCTTTCGAGAAGTGATATTTCTTCACAATCTGGTCCTGCAATAAAAATTTCGAATTATATTAGTAATACATGCAATTTCTGTAATCATAGCAATGACAATAAAATGCATTCAACTAAATTTGATTTTTTACACATACCATATTCGATTTCTAGACAGGTTCTGTAACTCCCCGTATCTTCCGTACTAACATCTTCTTCTTCATCTACATTACCTATTAAATGCTCCCTCGATTGATCCATCAATCTTTGCGTTCTCAGACCCTGCATTAAGACTTGCTTGGTTTCATTTAATACTTTTGTGGTATTATCAATAAGTGCTTTATTATTTAATACTATATGTTCTAAAATTGTGCTCGGTTTTGTATCTTTGGTCGGACTGTGAGAATTATCTTCGTCTACTTCTAAATCACTTTTAGGCAATGTTTTCGATTCATCTGCATCTTCCGCGTTCAATTGTGAAGAATTGCTTTCGTTCTCTTTACAAGAATCTTGATCTACGTCTACGATTTCTGCATCAGTCTTTTTTTGATCTTCTGCATCACTCTTGGAATTAAGATTATTTAATGCTTCGTTTTTAATGTTTTGCTGTTCTTCTAAATCAATCAGGTTGACATCGGATGTAGGTATTAGGATCAAAGGTTCTGCTTTGTTGATTTTATTCAAGTTGTCTACCGTATCACATGATTTTTCGCTCACAGAATCTCCAGAGAAATCGGTTGCTGGTGAGTTTTCAATTTTATGACCGTTGATTTTTACTGGTTCGTGGTCGAGTTCTTCTAAACGTGCCGTTATTCCTGCAAAACAGACGGAGGCCAGATTTGGCAAAACTCTTGGATGGGGACAAGCACTTCCTGGCCCGTGAACACTGAAAATAAAAGATATCACAAAATTCTAATTTTTGCTTTGAAGATAGTGAAAAAAATATTAATTTTAATATTTGTATGACTATTTTATGTTGATACGAAAAATCTTCTAAGGCAAAATATCGTGTTATAGTCCAGTCATTTAAGCTTAAATTAGGTAAGAATATCAGAATTCGAGATACTCAGCTGTAAGCCTGTAAATACTTGTATATTTATATCCTAAAGTTGTCTCAAAACCTACATGTGGTAGGGTGTCAATATCATATGTACTTTCGAGAAAACTTTAGGGTGTCAATATACAAGTATTTACGGACTTACAGCTGGGTATCTCGAATTCCGACGTGAACTTACTATAATGATTGGACTATTAGAACCAATAGCACGTGTGCGAATCTGTGAGTAAGAATAAGTAAAAATATGATGTCATATATACCTTTCAACAAAAGCAGCTAATCGTTCTCGACCTCCAACACCTCCTGTTAAATTAAAACAAATTAAATATGGTAGCAATGCATTCTTATTGGTATGTCTGAGAAAATAGCAAAGAAAACAAATGATGCTTTCTGATTATGCTTTTAGGCTAAATTCTATTATGGAATTAAAACTTATTAATTTTAGACGATAATTAAGATTATCTCCTCACCTCCTATGGCTGCAAGATAATCTCGAACTAAATCCCTCGCATGCGGTGACGTCGAATAATCAGCTCCATGTTTCAGTATCCTCCTCACCAATCGATCCACAGCGGAAAATGATAGCGAATCGTTGCTTGACTCTGTAATAAATACAAAATTTCAGGTGTTCATCCTGAATACCATCAAAATTTCACCAGAATCTCAAATAAATAAGCCTACGAAATTCTCTTGGTTTTTCATAATCATGTTCTATGCCTTGCACCAGCAAGCACCATGACGTTCAAAAAAGTGTAATAAATAATTTGCGTAAATTATATGTTATTATCAATAATTGTATCTAGTTTACATGTATTATACTCTATGATGAAATTTGCAATAGAAGAGAATATTTACCGCTATCAGAACTGATTTCATCGTATGGGTGCAGACAATACTTGGCGACATGTCGGCACAATGGCGCACTCGCCGGAGCGTCTTCTAATAAAGGTGCGGATGTCCGCAATAACGAAGCACGGCTGCATATGTGATCAGGCTGAAATAAAGGTAGCATTTATTAAAAACAGATATTGTTTCATTTCAACTTGTTTTTGTCATATAGTAATTTCAAAATTTTTTCATAAAGACTACCAAAATAACAAACTTGGTTACTTCGCTGGTTCTGATGATAACGTAATATAACATTAATGAATATTGAAATATTCTAACTCTATCAAATAAGTTATAGTAATGGGCCACAATTGAAAATTTTTGCATATCTTCACGTTTCACAAATCTCTGAACATTTTGGCATACCTCAGAAAAAATGGATGTGTGTGTGTATGTGTGGAGACAATTTTTCGTCGATGATTTCAGGCGTATGGATGAACCGATTTGAAAAATTCAAAAAGCAATCGATTTCTATTGATAGGGAGATGCGCTGATTAGTTTTTTGCAAAGGCAGGTCCAGTGGCTTCAGAGATATGGAGCAAAAAGTGCTAAAAATGTCACTTTTTAAGAGAACAGATCAACCGATTTGAATGATCCAAACATCATTCGATTCGTAATGATGGAGAGAAGTGGTGATAAATGTGTAAAAATGGCAGTTTTTGAGAGAACTAAGCATCCGATTTAAATGATTTAAAAAACTTTCTGCTTGTGTTGACGAAACGATTGCTTTTAGGGAAAGACATTTTTTTCAATTTATTTTTAAATTAAAAAAAATGCATCTTTCTATCTATTTGAAAATATTTAATATTCCTCGAATATTTCATTAAGGTACCGAATGTTCCAGCAATTTGTCTTAAGACACGATGTCATACATCACTAGTTTATATCTATAATCTAAGTTTAAGGATAATTGTACTGAAAATTGCGCAAAACTTCTAAAATTGAATTAGTTATCTTTATTGAAAACTGCTTAATCGATTTGGATGCTTCAAACCGATTTAAATTTATATTTTATATGACTATCACCCGCCCATTAGCTTTTGGTGAAGACTCTTCCAACCAATTCTGAGATACAAAAATAATTACTAATGAATATATGTTTTTTGAATCATTCAAATCGGTTGATCCGTGCTCCCGAAATTGGGGACAAAAAATTGTATCCGCACAAATACGCACGCTCACACTCACATAAAAGCACACATACATCAATATATATTAAAAGTATACCAAATTGTTCAGAAACTGAACGAATTGTTCTGAAAGATAAAGATATACAAAAATGAAACATTTTCCATTTTTTGCGATTACTGAAACTTATATCGAAAGTTAGATCTTTATAAATGTAGAAGCACATTCTCGTATTCGTGTATTCTTTACAATTTTATAAATATTTCTTTTACAATATTTCCTGGTATCTTATACATTCTGAAATATGGATCAATAAAATTCACATTTGTATCATCAGGTTGTAAAACTTTCATTTTCATTGATTGCGAAATTTGAAAAATAAGTTTTGTTATGTTATTTAATTTAAAGCTTATTTTAAATATTTATCAGTTCATGGCCGCAATTGTATGGCAAATGTGGAAATGAGTAAACTTGATAAATGCAAACTGATTTAAACAAAAATTAACAAGTTTTTTTGGTTCCATAAATTTCTTTTTAAACAAACAATTTAAATAATATTCATGAAATCGAATCTGTCATCCAGACAAAACGACAACAAAAATCCCCATTTTTTATCACAAACCTATTTTGATGATTTCTATTTAATATCTTCGACATTAACTGAAAATAGATAAATAGAAACGACCCAGTAAGTCAAAAAAATTTCCTCCCAACCAATTCTATAACATTGTAGACAAAAAAAAGAAGGTTGACCAAAATGATAAAATTATATTAGATGCACTCTAGTCATGTCCCGAAGACTATTTTCTCTCTTATCATATTTTAGAACTGTAATTTCAAGTAAAATGCTGATAACACTACTGCTTGATATCAAGCCGGCCAGGAAGAATGTCTATCCCGGGTTGCTAGACCAATTCTTTAAGATTCATTTCTTAAATTATGACTAATAATTACTAAATCTATATTATTACCTGGTCCAAAAGTTCCGAAACTATCGCAATCGGTTCATTCATAATGCAGTCATCTTGTAACGGTGTGGTAGCAGCGAAATCCACCAGACACTGATAAAATGAATCAATATTTACAGTTGTCGATAATAATGTCGATATATAATAGATAATGATTATGTCATATCGAATAATTTCATAAGTGTTTGTATTGAGTATGTAAATGAATTTATATTTCTACATTTAGAAATTCATATTTATTTTTACCTTTAATTCTTTTAGTATGATCTCAGGTGAACGGGATTGTGATAACACGCTTTTGTATTTGTGCAGGTTTTTCTGTAATAAGAAATCGAAAATAAATAGAATCTAATATAACTTATTATAACTCTCTTCAGTCTTTATGACAAAGAAAATAGTAATAAATAAATTGATAATTAATTGATATTTGATTGATAATTAATGATATTTACCTTCCAAACAATCGAGTGAAACCATTGATCGCGAACATAGCTACTCGCTGCCTGCAAACAAATAAAAATAATATATTATAAAAAGTATTCCAACTATATTTGTTATGTTTATTGAATTATTAAAGTAGTGTAGATTCCGATTTATTTGATAATCATTTTAATCAACAAACTATTCTGCGATTTTTACTCCTAAATCATGAAAAAACTGTTAATTAAATTTAATTCTAGGTATTGGTCAAAGTATTTGCATCTGTTAAAAAAACACTAAAATCATTGATGCCAAGATATATAATTTGTTTCTTGTGGAATTTTCAAATAATCAATTGATTATATAAATCATAAATAAATAACTTGTTCTATATTCTTTGACCATTCTATTTATTCTCATTAAATTTACTGAGGCATCCAGAGCCAACGCAATTTAAAACAATTGAGGCAGTCAGTATTGACTTTTATAAATATCTTATTGATCTCGATTAATATGGCACATTTTACTAATAAGAAGTTGGCATTTATATTAAATTCATAATTAGATATTTATAGATTGAAAATGTGTTCATCAATCAGTTTATAGAAAACGAGAATAGCCAATTCATACTTTTCATTAAGAAATGTGTTGATGAGATTTTATGAACAGTCTCAAGATAAATTTAACACCAGTATTAATTTTTTAATTTAACCAACTACTTTCTCACTTAAAAATTGCATAACTAAAATTGTAATAAGATTATTACAAATTAGCACAAATATTTTTTTTTTCAGAAATATCGTGGGCTCCTCAGGCGCTAATTTATATAATAAATGAGAAGATGTTTTTCTATTAAAATGCATATTAATCTATAGTGTATATATTTGTGATAAGAATAGTGATAATATGTATCATATTGAAAATTACCAATAAAAAATGTCATCCCTATTAGATAAATTCTAATAATGAAATCATCAAATATGGATGGATATAAAAATACGAAGTAAGGAGAAATTTCAGCCCAACAGCTCATAGGACGTAAAGTTTTAATTGCTGTTAAAATTGAATTGATAATTGAGAATAAGTTTTTTTTTAATTTGTCCTTTAAACAAGTAAATTATTTAAGAAATTTAAGGTATTTCGAGCAATGGTATAAAATTTGTAATTTTAGAGTATGACTAAATAAGACGTACTAACAATTCAGGGACGTTTTGATCAAATGCTCTTGTTTCTATATATTATGACCTGATATGTTCATCACAACAATAAATGCAAAAGCAGTTTAAAATAAAATTTTAACAATTTAGTGGTGATGCTTTTAGAAAACCCCGGGGCACAAAGTAGAAATCTGGGACAGTCCAACCCAACCTGGGCCTATGGCCACTTTAGGTTTAAACATTTATTTCCCAGTAATGTTTAAAAAAAATATCATAGGCATCTAAATAATAATAATCGCTTGAATCATTCGTTTCAGAAAAATCTAACTTGCTTTCAGAAAAAAGATGTTTCTATGTGACTATCCATAGATAAACAAATTTAAACTATTTATCCTTAACGTTGCCTTGAAATGAACATTTTATTTGTTTAAAGTGAAATTTACACAGTGAATGGTGATGTTCTAAGATATATATATATACATTATCTCACTTGTAATAATACTGATCCTTCGGGAACTACAATCCGCAAACAATATCGTCCTGTTGCATCCCATCTGTTGACTGTGTACACATCTTGCATCGATGCATAAGTCAGAGGTTTTTGCAATAACCCAGAACCCTGAAAAAAATTAAAATATGTATAATAATCAGAGAATATAACTAGAAAAAATATTCATTAAGTTGTTCAGAAAAAATTTACTTCTCCGACGTGATTACTTAAGACAAAATCCCACTTATACCTAGTTCATTTTATTTTTTAAATAGCGTAGTACCAGTGTATGTATTTTTTTTTCTTTTTTTTATTGACATAGTATTTTTAAATCTATGTCAGACAGGGTTTAATTTAAAAAAATAACAGTAAAACAGTACAAGAAGCTGTATCCATTATTACTATAAAAACAAATGGCCCTAAGAAAATAATAGACTTTTTTACTCAGTTATAATAGCCATTGTTAAAATGCGCGTTATTTGTCCCTGTAAAAGCCATAAAAATTAACGGCTTTAATATAGCATGTAGTTATTAATAAAACTGCGTATAAAAGTAACAAAACATGCAAATTAACACCTATAACATGACTTAACTACACTTGGAAACATCTTTATAAATTTTTATTGCCTACAAGATATGACTAAATGGGCAAAACAATAACAACTTAAATATTTAGGTCATGTTCAAGCAGTCAATACCGACGAGAGTTCAAATGTCAATACATAAGCAAAAATGATTCCATAAATGTGTTGAAATGTAATTAATAATGCTAATTAAAAAAATTAGCAATTAATTGCAAAGTACTGTACAAATCATATTTCAACATTACGTTATTAATTTCTTATTAATGGGAATCTCATATTGCAGCTTTGTATTTAGAAACAGAACATTTCTGTCCAGTCAATTCCTTTGTGTCATTGTTGAACTTGTATGAATCCTCCTTTCCCAAATTTCAAAAATAAAATGATTTTTGGGAATCAAATTTTATTAATTTGAAACTTGAATAAACTTTTGCAAAATATAGATTATTAAAAAATTAAAGAAATATAAGTAATAACAAGGATTTGAATAATGATAATATTATTTTATCAATAATTAAATAATGAATAAATTTTAAATAAATTCTAATGAATTGTTGTTAAAAAAAATTACTAAAAACTGTAATTTTCGCTATAAATTGAAGTTATGTATAATTATTTTAGCACATGTTCGAAATTGATTTAGAATATCATGTGGTCTACGTCAATACTATTCAGCTTATCAATGAAATCTATACACGTTAACATTGAATGAATCGATTTAGTAAAATTCATATATAGATTTCGAAAACTATTAATATATCTAGATATTCTAATATTAATTGATGCTCATTTAAATGCAATAAAGTCAACCTTATACCTTAAACCACACACAAGTATCAATTTTACTCAAAGTATTGATATTGTACAAAGTTTAAATTTGTAATATATTTATTAGGGCGGGTCAATTTAAAGGTGACTAAGACACATGATTTTCGAATTCAAGAGATCAAAATAAGATACTTTGCTGAAAAAACTATACCTCTAAAATAAGGGTTAATTTTTGAAAAACCCTCTCAGGGAGGGGTCTCATGAGTTAAACTAGGGACATGGGTAGATCAGCCTTCCAAAGTTAGTGGGGATTTGTTATACATTTGGAGGCAATTGGGGCACTCTTAATGGGTAAAAAGAAAATTTTTGAAATTTCAACCCTTATTTTTCGGTCAACGCATCAGGATTCATTTTAGAAATGTGGTTTCTTCAGCAAAGTATCTTATTTTGATTTCTGGTATCCAAAAATTATGCACCTAAGCGACTTTTTTGACCCATACTAATCGACCCGCTCTAATATTTATATAATTTGACTTCAGATTATTTTCATCTCAAAGACATTTTAAAAATGGTAATAATATTTCTCAAAATTTACCAAATTTAAATAAATATAAACATATTATATAAATTTAAACAATTAAGGCTGTATTGTTGTTTTTGCAAAGAGGACTTAGTAAATTCTTGATACTGATTGATTGGCATGAGTTGGAACAAAATATCACAAAAAACGATAATATATTATGATTATTGAAGTATATATTAAAAATATTACAAATTAGGGTGTCATAACAAAAGCAAATACATGTATTTTTATAGTCATTATTTTTTGATTTATTGAAAGTTCGAGAGCCTTGAAATTAGAAGTTTCTAGTTGAAATCATGGGTCACGTACAACATCGTATTAAGAAGTACTGTTATCCATTTGAACTTGTTAATACACCAGTTTTTTTATAATTTTTTTCTAACAGAAATCATAACTGAAGAGTCCTAATCAGTACTACAGATGACAACCCAAACAGATGTCCTGTTGTATAATTGAATGTTTCTCCATATATTTTCTTTCTATTTATTTGCACAGTTTCTCTAATAGTTCAAATATTTATTGATGCAACAATACCTGATCAGGGCTATTTTTTACATATTGCTATCTATATTTCCAAGTGAAAACCGTTGTCACTTCTACTTGAAAACAGGCTGCCCGACGCAGGATCGAACCCGATACCTCTGATCTAGGTCTAGTCGTCTTAGCCACTTACCTAAGAGCAAGCCTAATATACAAGTTAAGATGGGTATAGAAAATATCCTTTCTGGTTTTGTTAAAAGAAATGACAAAACTACTGTTTGAAGAATGTATGCAAGTAATTACTTGCTAAAATAACATTGGGTTGCCTTCCAATAGCATCTGCAAAATCTAACAAAATTACTAAATGTCTTCATGACAATAGACAGATTGTGATTCATATAGAAATAAAAAAGTCTTCTAAATATAAATTTATCTCCTTGCGTAAGTTAATCACCTTACCCCGTACTAAAATCAAAGTCGTATTCGTTTTCAATAAATTTTAAATCCGTTCGTTTAATACGAAAACGTAATTAGAAACCCACGGCTAGATCTGTTCTATTCGGTCGTAACATTAATTCGAATTGAACAAAAAAAACACGAATACCTGTTGTCGGCCGCCGAATGCATCATTGATAGTGCTGCTGAAATGTGCGTCACTAATCGCAATTAAAGAGAATAAAAACAATTCGGTACTTTCGGAATCTATCCGGCGTTAACCTATTAACCTAAATTGGTCCAAAGACTTGGAACAGTGGCACAGTGGAAACTTACCATAGGAAAGATGATCGAGATGGGTTTTATACGTGTGATCTTCGGATGAGTATTATTTTTTTGTGATATCTGTATCTGTATCCGAAAATCGAAAATTGGAAGATGTGGATCATTTCAAATATTTAGGAAGCATCCTGACCAGAGAGGGATACTGCACGAGAGATATCAGATTTAGGACAAGGCAGCGTTCACAAAGTAGAGAACTAAATAAAGTGCAATTAAATAAACTAAATTAAGAGACTAATGAATGTCTGGAGCATAGCTCCGTACCGATCAGAGACATGGGCTCTAATAAAGATCGATAAGAACTATCTGGAGAGTTTTGAAAGAAAACTTCATAAATTGAATAGTGGAGTGACACCACAATTGTTTTTGTGGCAGCAAAACTAACACATGACTAAAATTATATTAATTTTGTTGTTTTTTTCATTCAAGCTTGTGGTGCATGCCATCGTTTTCCTCATTCACCAGGAAAACAATTAAAACTAGTTGTGTATGGCATCGTGCCTTAAGGCAAATTGCTGGAACTTCCCGTGCCGTAACAAAATGTTCAAGAAATATTAAATATTTTTATATAGATTAATATAAATACTGTAAAATTGTCTAATATTTATAAAAGTTATATAAACTGAATTACAAAGTTAATATTATTTATTTAAAATATATTGGTGAGTTTTAGAACATTAGCCAGAATTAAGAATTTTTTTAAGAAAAAAAGAAATAGGAAAAAAAATTGAAATAATTTTTTCTTCCAAAAGCAATTATTTTGTCAAAACAAGCAGAAAGTTTTTGAATCATTCAAATTGGATGCTTAGTTTTCTCTTAAAAACTGCCATTTTTTGCACATTTAGCTCGGTATCTCCGAAACGGCTAGACCTGCACTTGCCATAATCTAATCGAAAAATTATATCCATACATACATACACACACATCCATTTTTTCTGAGGTATGCCAAAATGTTCAGGAACCTTCAAAACGTGAAAAAATGAAAAATCTTTAATTTCGATTTTTGGGCGATTATAAATATAAATTTAAATATAAATTTTATGAGTACATTTTTGACAGAGATAACACTGTATATAACCTTGATCTGGTTGTTCGCCAAAAATGATCATCAACATAGTTGGAATAACTATAGTTATTTTACCTATCTTTTGCAAAATTGCTTTTGTTACTTTTTTTATTGGCTAATATTTATTGTTTACACCTGTGCCAGGGTAAAGGTTCAGTTGTTCCTTTTTACCCCATCCACATGTAAGATTTTATAGAAATTATATAAAAGAATCTATTTTAAAAATAATAAATCTTATAGAACGACACAATAGTACATCTTTAGAGCAATTCTCGTTAACTAAACAACAGTGCTCACAATCAAAAAAGCTTACAAGGAGAGAAGACACCTTTGTTATGGATTTACAAACATTGCCCATTTCTTAAGTCGCGAGAATCAAGATAATGGGTGGCTGTAGACCTTTTTCCCTCTACTTTCAAATATTGTTGTTGAAAAATTCTGATCTTTACTTGTTTTTAGGATATCGGTAGTGGACCTTTTTACCCTCGAACTTTTATTTTAAGCCCCGATGTACCCTATATAATTTCCAGTAGGAGATCTTATGAGTTCAGATTTTATTATGAATGATATAAATTTATGACAGAGCACATAATAATCAATATAATTAAATATTGTTTTTAATATTTTTATCATAAACTACTTAACAATGACATGTAATATTTATACATGTCACCTACAATAATGTAAATATATAGAATATTATTGTACTATGATAATTAAATAAAATATGTATTAAAGTAGGTAATTATCATTATTAAAATTAATTGTTAAGCATTTATGCACATAATTATTAAGCTATTAATCACTCATTCAATACAATCACTCATTATGCAGCAAGATTATAGTATTTTTTTAAAGTGAACTGCTTCAACAA